ACACACCTGCAATTTAGGGAATGTAGGAGCTGTAGGATTCAGTTGCTGCCTTAGGTCTAAGGAAAAAAGTCAGAGCTTTGAAAAAGTCAGGCAGCTGAAAAGAGAGAGGGTAAACACAGCTAAAAGAAGCAGAGAGCAAGTCCCCACAGATCTTCTCCTCGCGCTTAGTTTGGAGGGTGTTGCCCTCCAACTCGGTCCTGTCGCTGTAGGCACGAAACGCGGTCCCACCTCGGAAGGCGAAAGACGCTTTCGTACTCACCGTTCCCGGCAGATCCTCCGGCCAGCGAGAGGGCAGAGAGCAGCGCGATGAGGTTTTGCCTTCGCATGTTGCCTTGGCGGTGCTCCCGGCCGAGGGGCGTTCGGCCAGCTCCCGGCTTCACCCGAACATTTACATTTCCTGTTTCCTGCCGGGGTGCATCTGAGCTGCATTTCTGCAGGAGATGGACTCTCTTTGATGGGTTTTAGGAAGTGATGTAATTCCGTCTGGGCCTGTCAAGCGAGCGATGATTGCAAAAGAAAGAAGAAGAAAAAAAAAAGCAAAAAAAAAAGCACTAACTCGGCTGAAGCACCTTTATGCTGTAGGTGAGCGAGCTCCTACTCTCCTCTACTTTGTTGACTCCCGACTTTACTACCATCTCCCTTCATCCACATGCAGTGTCACGGGGACAAGCATCATACAAATACAAATCAGAGACAAAATTTCATTCACGTCTGTTAGCAGGAAGGTTTTACGTTGTTTTTCAGAGTGGTTGAGCAAGCAGATTTCAACAGTGCCTCCCCTCCTGCCTTGGTTTTCAGGCTGAAACTCTGCCCCCAGCACGGTGGGACGCCGCGTCCATTTACAACCCCCAAGCCCCCAGTTTGTCTCCAGCAAACAGGAAAAACGACCGGTTCACTTGGCAGCCTCTAACTGAGTATTTTGGACCAGTTTGAGCCGGGGAAGAGGAAAAAGCAGAAAATCACATCATTTTTTGTCAGGAGCAGGTGGCTTAGCTGGAAAGCACTTAGACACCGGTGTGACGATGGCTGTAGATGACAGGGGACAGAGCCCCACCAGGATGCAGTTCCTGGCATGGGGGTCCATGGTGGCATGGCTGATGGAGGTGGTGAGGGGACAGGTAGCTCCTGCCTCCCTTCCTCCCTCCTCTTGATTTTCGCTCACCCCCGGCGGTCTCCGGCTGGGCATGCAAACCACGGGGCATAGCTGTGACCCCCTCGCCCCGTCCTTTGTCCCCACTGCCCCACCACTGCCCACTCACTCAGAAACACATGAGGGTTGACCGGGGGCTTCCACGCATCGCCTGTCACTGGATAAGAGCAACGGTGGAGCTCAACATTAAACCCAACATTCCCGATCTTCTTGCTGTTTGGGGTGGGCCAAGCCAGGGCTCAGAATTTGGGCCTGGATCTAAACCCTACCTGTCCCCAAGCAGGATGGGCCATAGGTTTGGTTTGTTCCACTGTACAAAGAGGCACTAGGTCTAAAATTCATCTCTCCAGGAGAGTCTGCACCCCAGATTTTACTCTGGAGCATCCCATGTTCAAGCCATTTTAAATATTTGCATCAAATTTTCCAGTAATAAACTAAGGAAGAAGAGACGTGCGCTGCCTGTGTAGCAGCTTCATGGTACTTACCCTAGACATTAGTCCATGTCAAAACCTGCTTTCTGGTGAATTAGTTGAAGCTGGCACTGGTGCATATTTCTGTTCAGACTGGTGGGAGCTGCTGAAGTGACCAATTGTTGCTCTGCTTCTCCAGCTAATAAAGTTTCAACACACCGATGCTTTTATAGGTCATCAGTTATAGTTTCTTAGCTTGAGTAGCTGAGAAATAGGTCAGTGATTCATTTGATGACCAGCTTGCTAGCAGATTTAAAACACTTGAATGATTTAATTAACCAAAGATCTGAACTGGTTGCTTAGTATTGGCAATGTACGTTTATGCACTTCATAAAACGGTGGAAAGGTACAACACTGCAGCTACGAGAAAATGAAGAGGAGCTCTGGGTTACGAAACTGCTGACTAACTAAATATTTCTAGGAGATATTATTTAATATGATGTCATACATGACAACACTTACCAGACAGAAGTGTCAGAGATGAGACTTGAGACTGCTTTTAAGATTTTCCCATTAAAAAATGACAGAAGTTCCAAGTATTAGTAATAGTGTCTAATTGATATAGATTATGAAAGTCCAGAAATTGAGGCTACCCAGACATCTCCGATGTGCCCAGAGGCACCATGGCTTTGTCTAGTTGGGCCAAACCCAGCACATAGGAAAACCGACAATCGGCCATCGGGCCAGCACAGGCAAAGACTGTGTTGCCACGAGCATAGGCTCAGGTCCTGAGGCCGTTACTATTGTCCAGCCTCAGCTTTTCTTTAACTTTAGTCAACAGTAGGCAACGTCATACTTTTTAACAGTATTTTTACTGCTTTAATGTATAGAGGATGTGCCATCCTCCTGTCCATTTCTTCCCCACCTCCTTCCCACGTTTGCCACTCTCAGTCGTTCTAATACCACATGGGCTGCAAACGTGCTCTCCCAGTTTATCCTGCCCTGCATATTGGGCTATTTTGCCCCAGCCTGTAGACTTAGCCCAGCTCACTCATCCCTTACTTAAACATAACCCTAGACAGAAGGACTGGAAGGAAAAAGAGGAAAGGACTTGGGTTTGTTTTGTATCTTTGCTGCATTTTTATCTCATAATTCTAATGTACAAAACTACATCCTGTCATCTTTTTCCTCCCAGTCTTTCTCCATAAGTTGTAGCGTTTCCCACTCAGACTGTCATCAACTATTTTTGGCATACGTTCGGCTACAAACTCGCCGCTGCCCCTTGAGAGTAAGGTAGCCATCCACTGGTGTGTACCCAAGTAATGATTTCTAAGGCAAATTAAAGTTCAGGAAACATGACTTTGTGCCACGTTACATTTTAATTAAGACTTTAGAGTGATACAAAGGCAGCTTGACACACATTTGACTTTTTTAATATTAGGGAAAGGAGAACGAGACTGACTAATCGGACTGTCACGGAAGGGCAGCGACCTCGGTCCATCCCCACCAGCGCCGCAATCGTGCTCCCCTGAAGCACCCCTGGTGGGCTCCCTTTTGCCTGCCTGGGGAGCAAGGTTAGTACCTTTGCCTCGGTCATCATCTTCAGCCGCGTGCTTCTCTCTTCGCAGGAGAAATACGGAAACCAAAAGCTATAGTGACAACCTTGCTGCAAAACAAACTTGTGCATTTGGAAACCCAGGTGGCTTCAGTCACAGATCATTTTTGTAAGAGGGGTAGATTGTACCTGATAATTTCATAGGCTTTAGTGTATTTCCACAACACGCCTTAGCAAAAAGAAATGTCTTTTCACAGGTGAGACAATTAAGTTTCCTGGCTATTTTCAGCGTACGTTACCCAGCTGGCATCTCCACACACTTTTGGGACCGTTTCATTGATTTTTATCTTATAAAGGGCATTTCTGACTACCTAGCTAGGCTAGGTTAGGCTGTTTGCTAATGTACTTCCCTAATTAGAGAAGGGTTTGCATCACTGAGATTACAGGATGTCATCAGTGCGACATTTTCAGAAAAACAGAAATGTTTTGTAACGCTGCAGCCACTTGACTCACACTCTTCTTGTTCCTTTTTCCTATGAAAACTCACAACAACAACAACAGCTAAACTTTTGAGAGTGGTGGAGCAAGTTGCTGGTTAGTTATAGGGCTTGTATCATGAGCTCCTGCCAGGGCAGCTTGTCTGCCGCAGACGTCAGCAGCTAATCTGCCTGCTCTGAAGTGCAGGCAGGGGCTAGCGCTGCTCGAGTCCTGCTAGTCCCTTAGTGACTTATTTCTGCCTCTGACATACGTTGGGAAGGGACAGAAAAAATTCTCCCAGGAGTCACTGTGAAAGAATGGGAACTTGCACTGTATTGCAGGTCACTGCAACATAAAAAGTAAAAAATCCCCAAAGCAACGCTGGGTGTGCAAAGCCCACAGGGATCTGCTCAAGCCAGCCCAAGCCCCGGCTGCAATGGTGCTTCTGCGGGCTGCCGAGATAAGCAAGGTCTGCAGGACCGAGGCGAAGATCCACAACATCCTTGTGTAGAAACCTCACGTGGATCTGGAACCGCACCCACGGTTGCACTTGTTCCAGAGCAAGCTTTGCCTGGGTGAGTTGCAAAAGATAAAGTGCTCTCTCCAGTAAACTCTCTCAAGTCTGGATTATATGAAAAGACAAGTTACATTTTATTTCAGCCGCAGAGGTGCTCAAGAAAAAGATTTATACCTTTCTGAAACCAATGCCACCCGTATAAATCAGACCAGTGCTTAGAACAATGAGATATTGTCCCTAACTGGGCATCATAAAACAACATAACTAAAATAAGAGTGACAATAAAAGCACAAAAACAAGTACCTGCCAGTTTTAAGTACCTTTTTGCTTAACCGGGCTCATAAATTTCTGCTTTCTTTTCTTGTCTCTGTCTTTCTTTTCTTCCTTACGTACAACACAGGCTGTTAAATCATGGCTACGATATTTTGGGGAGCTCAATAGGAACCGAAAGAAAACACGAACTATACTTGAAAACACCCAGATGTTCGTATCTAAGTTTCCTTTAACAAAATGAAAAATGGATTCAAAGAGAGACTCAAAAAACTCTTCTGAAACGGAAAAGGCCGCAGGGTGCAGCTAGGCCGCTGGCAGACTGGCGTTGAAGTGTGGCCGGACGCTTCGTTTCTACTCATTTTTTGGAAAGCGGCACGTGGATTAAAATCTTTGCACATGCCAAAAGCTTCCTAAGTTATTTGCAGCTTGTGTAAAATCCTAGACCAGACGACGGCTGTATTCTGTTGTAGTACTGACGGTGCTCTGAAATATGCTTCCTCCTGGGGGGGGTCAGCTTTACTTCGGGCAAACTCCGCGGCTGAAGACCGCCCTTCTGAAAGGGTGATGTCTGGTCAGCAAACTCGCCCTGTTACTCGGCCGCTAGAGAAACGCGGCCTTACTACGGGACGTAGGTAGTCCCAAGCGGTGCCTCCATCTAGCCTAGGGCAGGCTTTGCCCAGGAAATCCTCCGCCCGCGACCTTCCAAGACTCCTACCGCTGAAATCTAGGGGAGGCTCCGGGAGGCCTGTCTTCGTCTCAGTGCAGGCTGGATAAAGCTGCGATGAACACCGCGAAGTCCGGCTTCAGGGTTTGTTTTCTGGGAAAGCCTGCGCTTACCTCCCTGCTACCAGCCTGACGTTCCCTTCGGTGGCTAGATAGTAGGGGCTCTGCCCTAACCGCGCAACTTCTGAGCGCTCCCGAGCTCCAGCAGCCGCCGTGCCCTT